TCGTTGAGGCCGTAGTGACAGGCGAATCCGGAATCGGATGCTGCCAACCATATGCAGACTGACTAGGCCGAAGTAGGTGGGTTGTCTTAGGAGACCAACGCCCCCATCCTTTGGCAAAAAGGTCTAACCTACAAGCCAGGCGAAATAAGGGTTTCGCATCCTTTGGGAGCCGGTGACTGAACATCTAGTTCATAGGCCTTTCGAATGAAGAAAATGCATACCAGGGGCCCAACACACCCGAAATCAAAGGCAGAATCCGATACTGGGATTGCTTGACAGTGAACAATATGTCCGAGTAAGAAAAGGAGCAGTGATTTTACTTAGTGGCGAGGCACTTCCACCAAGTCACAGTGTTGTTATGCAGACACTTGCGGGTTTTTTATGGGAAGGACGCTCGCCAAGCATAAACCCATCACGGCATAGAATACTGCCACCGAATCATTAGTCAGAACGGAGAATACGGGAACCAACCAGCTGGCACCACGGGGAGGTTGTTTGGCAGATGGCCCATACTACAAGCCGACCTTCACAGACTTCGAAGTCGACAATTTCAATTAGCTTGATTTGGAAGGGAGAGTCACAAAATTCACTGCATACTTCGGGCTAACGCGAGGCTGGTCGTTTCGAAAGCGTTCACTGAATCATTAAAGGTAATCTGTTAAGATAACTGTTCTGAAATGGCAGATCACTACAATTACTTCCACGACTGGTTTCGTGCATGCTAGCACATTTCCAGTAGTGGTAACTGTTGTGTATGCACTACCTAGAGAGACACTGCCGTGCACATAACACCAGACGCGTACACAAGTACACGTTAGCAGCTTCCCAATTGGTCCATTTTCACTAATTGTATTCACTTTAGGTTGACACCTGTCAGAGTAATTTGTGAACGCTTTCGTGCACAACGATAACAGAACTAGGCTGACTCGATGCATGGGCACAATGCTTGCCGATCGAGGCCCTTGCTGCCACACTGCGGAGTCGTGAGTGACGTCGTTTAGTTACTAGGATGCATGAGACGTCACAATTACACAGCGGACTAAATTGATCAAGGAACATTGGTTTATAACAGATAAAGTAGCCAGTGCAAGTATTACAACGACACAGGTAACAGCAATGAGACAAAGTGGGAATTTAGGCTTTGGATGACTCACAACGGAACAATAGTGTATTACGGGTAACAAAGCAATGCTTAACAAGTCGCGTGGGATGGAACTTATTGCGAAAATATAATTGCATGCTAATGTGAAAAGCGTATTGGTGGACTCACCGTAAACTTATGCAGGATTGCGGAGATATTCGCGTAATAAAAGTATAAATCCATAAACCCATTTGTTCGAAGTTTGGTAAGACACCGTTTGATTACTTTTTGTAGCCCCTGGCTAAGAAGTTATAAACTGAAATGCAAATGAGACAACGCAGCGGCAACTCCTTTTTTTAAATTTCGCCAGATTGGGAGCAGAAACGACATAATTAGGAAGGACGTTCCAAGGCTCACACACGCAGAGGGAAAATAAATTTCTACGGCATTCAAGCCGGCTATAATGAATTGTCAGTTTCAGAGGGTGACCACTTAGTTTAGTGTTGGGGTTCAATTCCAGCAGCGGACGGCAAATGTGGTTTGTGTTCTTCAGAATCTGGTAAACCATTATGAGATCCCCCCGCAAAAGCCGATATCGACTGCTGTACATTCTTAGATATTTCAGTCTAAGTTGATAGGGCAGATGAAAGAGGCCCCTGACATTTTTGTATATGCATATAGACACCCTTGCAAGTTTCCCCACCGTTGCCTTACTGACACGGCCGGTAAGCGCACTCGTTGATTCGCGTTGTTTTGTCTTCCGATTGAAACAGAGTATATTATGTGTCTAATATGAGATAGCGCGTTATCGAGGCGTCGTATTGAAAAGTGTTAATGTAGGGGCAAAAATGCTGTGCGATGAAGCAATGAAGCAGTGTTTTGTAACAGATATAAGAATAAATGCTTGACAAGTCCCGTAGGATGGAATGCCGTTCCTTGCTCCGGACACTCAAACGGAGAAACAGTTTTGTCGGTACTCGAGTGGAGTATAGTGCCTGGCCAATTTGAGCGGATGACCTATCAGGTTAGCATTTTGCCTGCATTGCAGCGGACGTAGTAAGTATGCAAAGGGTTCACCAGTACAGCTGCACCCTCATATGATTTCCTGGCGTGTATCGACACTTACTGCTGTACAAGCCAAAGGCTTACCATCTGAGTTGGTTAGGAAGGTGGAACAATCCCCTGACGATTATGGTCGCTGTGCGCTTTTGCAATTTAATAGCATCAGCATCGTTTTTGGACCACGTATGCTAGGCCTGCATGACATATTCTGTATGAGGCCACACAACGGTTCTCGACACTTGCAGAAGGATAGACGGCTTAAAATTCCCGCATGCTTTCCGTAGGAGAGCAAGGTGGTGTTAGTATTTCTGGATACCTTTTTCGGCCTGCTTCAAGTAGGTAAGATCATCCTGCATAACTATGCCGAAACCGCTTTCCACGACAGTAGGATACAGCTGCTGTTTCCAAGTCGAAATTCGTGAGTAACGAGATGGCCTATGCACTAGGCTTTCCACTTGCTGACATTGTAATGGAGCGAGCTCTCGGATGACCCCATGTGAGCCTTATGTGTAAGAACTGCATGAGTTCTGACCGGCCTTACAGCTAGCCAACAGCTGCGTTAATTTACACCAAAATTTTGGACTACGTAGCCGATGTACAACCAAACAACGAGGACGTGAGGGTTTTGATGATACTGAAGTTATTCAGATCACCAAATTTAACAGCTCGCTGTTGGTCAAACCTTATAAGTTGGGTGTATGGACTGCGACTTGTGGTCCCGATTGGAACTGGCTATATCTGGCACTGAAACAACACGTGCAGTCGAGAGGGTAAGCACGTCTTTACTTACTTATCTGTGCATTAGACGCGGCCCATCTGTGCTGTATTCAGCAGAACCAACTAGCCTCAAGAATGCGCGGGTCAAAATTTATAAACCCAGAAGTTTGTGATACACTGAAATCCCAACTGTCTTTATCAACCTACACATTCTAGTTCAGCGACAGTGTGCGTTTTCCGGCTGAATGGTGGCTAATTCTGGTCAAAAGAAGGTGAGGCCAAAATGTGTTAAACTGACCACAAGAGAGGCGCCGACCTTTGCACAACTCCATGACTCGTCGGAGCGCACTAAAGTTGCTCACCGGGTTGAGTATCAGGCTACGTCCCCAATTATTTCCTCAAACAGTGTTATGTTGTCTTACTGCAGGTGTTGAACCTAAGGTCGAGACTTACAAGCCAAGTATGATTGGGGCAGGTGTACTTGCACTTTATCCATCTGGATGTACGACGTCTGAACCCCTGTCAGCCATGCAACAGAATCCACGTGCTAATGGAGACCGCCTCGATCGTTCGGTTCAGTGGCCAGTAGCACAATGTCTTCTCCAGATGGTTTACAAAGTATTTTATGGACATTAGTACACTAGGTATTGACTAAAGCGCAACCTACAACCCATTTTTGATGCGATCGACAGCAAATAAAGTAGGTTCATCTGATCATGTTCACCCTGATTGTGCGCGCATCTCATCGAACGGAGCTTGGTGCGGCCCGATACCCAAATGAAGTAGCAGGTCGCATCCTTCCACTTAGGACTACGTTAACATCACAAAAATCGAATTTGCATGTGTTTTGGCATCTGGAAATCGGAAGCTGAAAAGTACTGTTGCATTTAACCTCCAGGTCTGGAATCCGAATAAATACCAACCGTATACGCAAACGTGTTTGAGTAATTTCGCCGCAGCTATACTCAGCCAGACAGCCACCACAAGTGCAAGAAAACGTTTTGCTGGATCTGTGGTGGTTGTCTGGCTGAATTTTTCTGCGATGAATCTTCTTAAATACACAAGAAACCCCCTACTCCTCACTAATAGTACGTCTATGCACATGGCGTGTTCAAACCAACAGTATTTATTGAAAGGAAATTTTCAAATATCGGTAAGAAGCAAATGAATTTAGTTTGCACTGCGTCTCACTGCCATAATTATACATTTATCCCAGCTTATCATTAATGCTTGTTAGAGTGCATTATGCAAACCTGAACCGATTTAGGACAGTATGTTTCGTTTCATGATCACGGTTGAAACGATGTGGCACTCACTTTTCGGTGCAGCGAAGTAAGTTCAAACATTGCACCTATTGTTCGCATCAAAAGATGTGACATGTTTGCACTTTCATGACAATTTGTACGACGACTGTCTTTGCTAGACTATCCAGCGCTGGATGTTCCCAGAAATAACCGCTATAGGTGGTAATCAGCCTCGGCGAGGATCGTCAGTGACAGACGTATGACCACCTTTGAAGCGCTCGCAATATTAACATATATTATTATGTCTGGGTTTCATATATCCGTATGGTGAACGAACTCTTCTCCACAGTGCAGCTTGTTCTGTGTCACCTTTCTTCAGAACCCTCATCTCAACAAGCCGTTCCTTCCTATCTGCCATCTTGAATAACTTTTTACAGAATAGTACACGAGAATAGTGCTTCCTAGTGGTACCATGACATGGTTGCCTGGTTCTGTTGCATGCATCACATCCATCTTGCGGTTAGTTTTTGAACCTAAAATGTGGATGTCTCAACTTGGCTTGAACTACCCATATATAACCATAGTTGGGTCGTGTATGGTCAGTAGGAAAACAACCAGCTTTGATGTGATACGCCGGACCATTCCATCTTTTGTGTCTTAACGGCACCATGAATGCTTGTGGGCCTTCGAGCCAAAAGCTGGTGCTGTGTCTATGCAGTTGACGAAATAACTCGTGGTCTTGAATTCCTAGGGCCCGATTGATTATTTTCTAGAAATGTGAGAAGGCCGCCACTAGTCAGAGCGAATGTAGCACGAAACGTACAACTGCAGCGCTACTGTCCCCACAGCAGATTGGCTAACAGTTGTGTATTTCCCTCTCCACATCTTTCCTCCAGCAAGTTCAAGTTTATCACTATCGATCATGGACAGCGGTTGGATTACGACTACTTGGTGCTCACTACTGGACTGCAGTACCACATTTCGTGTCCGGAGAATGCAAAGATTGTTGAAGCAGAAGACAATGTGACACAGTCCAGATCCTCCGCACGTTCCGGTATGTGAAATTTTATGCAGTTAATCCATGGCACTTACACCACCTAGAGGCCATTACCCCTTGCTGAATATTTCTGCTTAATAAGTGTGCAAAGGAAAGCCAAAAAATTAATAAAATGCCCGTTGCATTTGTACTGTAGTAAAAGCTTTCAAGGACCAGGAAATGTTGGTCTGTCGCCACACTAGGTGAAGCAGCGTAGCTGGTATCCTTAGGTCCTGCTTAGTTTGCGGGGTCATTCTAGTTTGTAGCTTGCTAAATAATCGCAGTCGGGTGAATTATGAAACCTGGGATCACGTCGCATCACTTGTGCTTTACCAGTCCCCACTAATCTCCGTCTTTGACTTCAAGCAACTGGTTTCAAACCTTATCTCAACTACATAGTCTGGGCAACTGGGTCACCATAGACATCTAACTCCTTCCACTAGCCGCTCTCACCTACCGTATCGGCCCCACTTGTCCACAATAGCCGCAGTTGAGAGCCGCATCGACTGTGTTAACACAGGGTATAAACCTAACGCCAAAGGTAATAAAATAACTGGCCTCAATTCTCGTTCGTCGCCTCACTGAGGAGCGGGAATCCCGGGCTGGGGCAGTGCAGGTAGGTTTCCGACCAGGACGGGGCTGTATAGATCACTTATTCACTTTGCAGTAAGTGCTAGAGCAACGCCGACAATAGCTTTGTTACTGTACTTCAAGAGTGCGTTCGGCTCAGTCGACCGATGCATTCTGTTCACACTACTTATGAGGACAGTTGTTCCCGTGAAAGCCTCGGACACGACAGCCGCATCAGGGTTTACGGTGGTTCAGGGGATGCCTTTCCGACAACAACAGGCGTTCGTCAGGGTTGCCCGATTGCCCCAATTTTGTTTAACCTCTTCATATGATGCATCATGGCGTGTTCCCTTACGGAGGCTAACGGTGCAGGTGTTGATGTTCTAACTGGTGCAAAGCTAGTTGTGCTAGATTATACTGACATATTGTCCTGCTTTTTAACTATGTTGGGACGGCGCAATCAACCATGAATAACCTTTCTAGTGTGGTCCCATCATTTGGCATGTGCTTCTCACCTTCAAATTGCAAAGTGTTGCAGAACCACCAGCCACTTGATGACCACCTTACCCTTGATAGCGAGAAACTAGATGTAGTTGATCACTTCAGCGAACTTCTCAGCTGTAACAGGTACGACGGGCACATAGCAGCTGAAGTCGATTCATGCATTGCAAAAGCTAGAACTGCTTTCTAGAACCTGCAACATCTGTGGCGTCAGAAAAGGGTTTTCCCTCATATAAGGAGCTGTACATACAGAGCCCCAGTGAAGGCCGTCCTACTGTATGCGAGCAAGACTTGGCCCCTCCGATCTGAGGATCTGCGGCGAATTCAAGTGTTTGATCATCGTTGTATGCGAAGCATTGCTACTGTCGGATGGCAAGAGCGTTTACTCAAAGATTATGTGCGAAAGCGAGTACTAAGCAATCATAATCAGGCCAGTTCTTCAGAACAACGGATAGCACTGAATAAATTGTCTTGGCTTGGGCCCGTACTACGTATGCGTGGTCACCGCCTACAGAAGTGGGCTTTGTTTTTTTTGCCAGATGTAGGGTGGCCCAAAGCTCGAGATGGGCAAAAGCTAGCTTGGCAGCAGGAAATAAACTCTCGAACTACAAACTGGGGGCTGTTGGTTCGTCTCGCCTTCAAAGCTGGGGTCCAGGTTATCCGTCTTGTGTATGGCTTGAGACGTGACAGGCCATGGCTCGCAGTCGACTCCAGTGACGTGTCTACTGTCGTCTCGTGGTCGGACTGCCAGTTCAAGGTGTGTTTGGTGCTGTTACCTGCGGGCTAATGGCTGATTATGATGCTGGGCAGTGAAAGTTGCAAGGAAGCTGTCTCGCTGATACCGCCTTATTTTTGTCCGGTAGCCAGCTATTTGTGACGGTATGTTGTCGACAAGGTGTAGGCGCCTTGACTCTGAATGTTTGTTTAGGACAACAAGGTTTTAGGCCAGGTCCCCTTTCTCTTACTGTTTTTCCTTCCGTAGGTTGTTGTGGTTGCATGGGGTGGCATCCTCACGACCAAGGTACTGAGCCCTTCCTATTCGTTACCTGCATCCGCTGGCGTGTGTCCGTAACGCTCTCACCCACTTGCTTATTGGCCTAGTTTAGAATAGTGGATCAATAAATTGTAAAACATGCCGGTTAGTATACAGTTTTGCCTTCCGTGTGCCTGACGTGTTTTGCTGTATGCTACTTCGGCTAAGAGCCAGCCACCAAGCGTTAGTTCCGCAATTTCTAAACTGTGACATATGGCAGTGAAGCATCAGTTCAAATAGCCGATGTACTGCTGCTGCTGCTGATGAAACGGTTTACAGGTAACAGGAACCAAGTGCCTTCCCAGAATCTGTAGCCCCATGTGCTGAGACGAACACAAGTTATGCTTCCGGGGATCCATGATTATCAACAGTGTTGCCTACTAATTACCAAATCCGACCACCCAATTTAGTCTGGTGCTGACAGTCACCCAGCTGAAGCACGCTTGTAAGCGGCAAAGTGTTTGGGAGTATGAATAATACGTTTCAACCAAAAGCAAAGAAGACAGACCTGGATACCGTCACTATTTACAAACTATTAGTGATGCAAAATGCACAGCACACAAGAATTTGTGCTTCTAGTAAGCGACAATGGTAAGAACTTCAATTCGCACCAACTAGCCACCAATAATAAATAAACAAATAGATACATAAATAAACGAGCTATTCTCGACGGTGCAAGACACGCATTCGAAGGCACGATCATGGTAATACAAACGCGTAACATTGATAATGATACAGAAATTTTACGAGTTAACCAGTACATACTGGTTATATGTGTGTATGTATGGGTAGTATGTAAGGAGGTGTATGTGTAAGTAATTGTGTTGTGTGAATTTGTTTGTCCAATGAATGCACCAACATAGGAAAGGATCAGAGGAAATATTGAAGTGGTTGAGGTTCGCAAAACGTGTAAGATCATCCGGTATGGAAAGGCCTTGACTTTCTTTGTTGACGAGTCATATCCGCCAAGTCACAGTGTTGTTAGGCAGACATTTGTAACTTTTTATAGGGAGAACGCTTGCCAGGCGAAAACCCACCACGTCCTGGAACAATGCCGCCGAACTATCAGCTGGACCGGAATTAACCCGAACCATCCAGCTGGCACCACATGGAGGTTGTTCGGCCAGCCAGATCCAAGTGATGTGTACATACTAATGGTTTCATAATACGTAGTGTTATTATATCACATATGATCTAGGGTAGTTGATCAACAAAAGGATGCGACACGGAATCGCAGGTGTTGTATCAGTGTGTTATACAAACAGTGATTGTCAGGCGTTGTATGGCTTCAACGGTGCGAAGAGAATGAGTGTAACGGAAACACGACGAACTGCTCGAATGAAAGGGTTTTCAAGCCTAACCTCCACCCACATCAGCTTTCCACTAAGGCGATGCACTGACAATAAGACGTAACATCCATGAGGCTTATTCAGGCGTGTCCGTGTAACGAACGCGAGCTATACATTAAGACCAAACCGGTGCGTGGGGTAGGAACTTGAAGCAGTCGTGAGTACAGATAATACAACTGGTGGTACCAGATGTAACAAAAGTGTACTTGTTCACATCAAGTTGACATAAGGTAAACGTGTGTGTAGCGGCAATACGAAGCTGAGACGGAATCGGAAAACTATAGGCCGGCGAACCTAAACTATGCACGTTCTGGACAGAGGAAATAAAACGTAAAGCCCTGTTACTGTGCGTATGGTTTAGGTTCATTAGCCTACAGTTTTTCGATCTCGTCTTGTGCGCTTTAGTTAGTCTAGACTTCGTATCGTTGCTACATATCTGAATAGGTTTGCAGTTGCAACAAAAATGTTAGACGCTGAAAGACGTGCTGTGGCGTTCTACAACGTTACAGCGTAACAGATTGCTAAGTGGTAGTCTATAAATGACACAACATATGACTTTGAGGTGTCAAGGACATGCCAATGGTGCGCAGTGAAAACGTCAATTCTCTACTAATGTATGTGTTCGAAGTATCATGCGTAAACGTATGTAAGGAAATTATGGTAGGGTTTATGAATATACATATATTGTCCTTAAATAGGCAATCCAGTTTGGCTGAATAATCGAAATTCTGTCTAGACTTCACATCGTCTATCTTCTTGATCAACTTCAACCCTATTTTAAATAGGAGCACTAAAACTAAACAGAAGAATGCTCGGCGGTGTGGTACCACAGGCTTGCTTCGGTATCTGTGCCATTGCAGCAACCCTTTGGCAAGCCATTAAAGTCCGCCAAATCACACAGCGTGGAAGCAAAATCATTTGAAACACCATGGATTTCCTCTTCATCGGAATCAAATGACCACTCGTTTAACGCTTCAGCATCTACTTTTCGACTTGCAGACCATAGGGAGCACTTGAAATAATCAAAGAACTACAAAATCCTAGTTGCGACTGGAGAACCTTGTGTCTCCTCATTTGCATGCAGGTGACTACGCACTCGTATATCATGTGCATGAAGGACATCTGAGTCAACAGCGTATGCAGATTGACTGACCTAATTGATCACAGACTGAAAAACAGGCAACTCTGCTTCCGATTTCTCAGTCAAGCTCAGAAAGGAAGGACTAGAGTTCTGATAAGTTGAATGACATTCGCCGCAAATTCAAGTAGTGTGCCGGCGATTAAAGAACGTTGGACACCATCAGTACATGATACGGTAGAATGACACCCGGCTAAGTCTGGGGCACTACAGATCTAACCGCCTCGACTTCCATTATCACAGCAAGATTCATCTCATGTTCTACATCACCAGCTTCCAAAGAAGAACTAACATAGCACATACTGGAATGAGTCTGTGGCGGCCACACTATTCAAGCTTAAGAGGCGATCCGCGGTCTCTACGTCTAGCGCAGGAACATGCAGTTCAAGTTGTCACCATGATTATAAGCATCAACTAGAACAGATAT